GTGCCATTTTGTTTGGTAAGTAATTTTCTTTTTCGCTACATTTTCCGTCGTAGAATACACGCGACGCGCTGTCGCTTGGTCTGACGAGGTAAGTCGCCGTTTTCTTCGCTATAAGATTACTGATAAAATGCAAAGAACCTGCAATGTTATTGGTCCTGACCTGTCATCTCAGTTTCACTTTCCTATCACTGCAATGTAGCTTCCCTGTGCCTTTTCTATAAATATTTTCATGGCAATTGTTCTAATGAACTTTTAACTTTAGTACCTTTACTTTATGAATTTAAGCGTACGACTAGATTCGCAGTAACATCAGATCACCTTACAGTTGAAATGGTTCGATGCAACCGTAAGTCCTATGCTAACAGTTTCTTCTTTCGCACTTCTTGATTTTAGAATTCTCTTCATCCTCCCCATCATCTTTGTTCTTTAAAAATCTAAATACAATGACATTCGTTTTCTTTTGTATTCCCATTTTTGTATTGTTCTCGCTCCTAATAAAGTTTTCTCATATTCTCTCGCAGTCAGTAATCCCTTGCGTCTTAGGGGCTTTATTGCTTGCAATGAAATAATTAAAAACAAAAAATTTCGCCTGATTTGAGTTAGGTCTCTTCAATCGTTTATATATATATATATATATATATATATATATATATATATATATATATATATTGGCAGCATGTTTTCATTAGGATATGTGTCATTAATAATGACTCCTCCCCATCAACTAACGTGTTGCAGAGAACCAACATTGTATATAAATGTAAATGTCCCTTGGGAGATTGTATCTCTAACAGAAGAAATTATATATATGTTCGTCATACTACCACTACGTTGTCTCGACGGTTGAGTTTTCATTTGAATGATGCATCTAACATATCACAGCATACACAACAACATACCTGTCTACTTTGCAATTTAGGAAAATTCGTGTTGAAAATAAATTTATATTTTTTCATAAAAATAATAAACATAAACTAACCATTCTTGAAGCTATCTGTATTAAAAAGTGAAACCAACCCTTAATAAAATTATTTATGTATACTACACGAATGTTTACAGTAGATAGTTCAAATTATCGAGGTTTCAACTAATAGTTTTAAATAGTTTTTAAAAAAATATTTGGATATTTCATAAATTAGTAACCTCACCTGACGTTTAAATCGTGAAATTTAAATCGTACCGTACATAAACTTGCGTTTTTCATTTCTCAGGTAAAAATTTAACCTTTCTATGAACACAACAGTTTTTTTGTCTTAGAAAAACTTTTATCTAGTTTTATAGTAAAATGACAAACGGTACATTTTTTAGTAAAATGATCAGCAATACTTTTTATAGTAAAATAACCGACAATACAAATTCTTAGTAAAATGACCAACAATACATTTTTATAATAAAATGACCAACAATACATTTTTATAGTAAAATGACCAACAACACTTTTTATAGTAAAATGAGCGACAATACATTTTATCGTAAAATGACTAGCAATACATTTTATACTAAAATGACCAACAATACATTTTTATAGTAAAATGACCAACAATACATTTTATAGTAAAATGACCAACAATACATTTTTATATTAAAATGACCGACAATACATTTTATAGTAAAATGACCGACAATACATTTTATCGTAAAATGACTAGCAATACATTTATAGTAAAATGACCAACAATACATTTTATAGTAAAATGACCAATAATACATTTTTATAGTAAAATGACCGACAATACACTTTTATAGTAATATTGAAAACATAGCACATATTGTCAAAAAAAAAATTGTTATGATAAATCTTATTTCTTGTGAGACGAAACAACTTTTCACTTATCCTTTTTAATCTACACCTTGGAATCGGACATTACTTTTGCCCCAACCTGATATATATATGACAATTTTCATTTAAACAGTTCCAAAATTAGATCATAGATGGAACTACCATTTCTAATCATTTCATTTATTCTTGTAACTCTTTTATGAAATCATCAGTTCCTTTTGTTTATATTGTTTTAGGGAAAGGCCATCTT